TTGTGAATGTTAAAGGTATAAACTTTGGAGTCAGAAGAGTTGATCTCTACCATTTAAATGAAAAGTATATGTTCTTGGGCAAATAAAATGACTGTTTCGAAACTTCAGCTGGGGAATCAACTAACTCATATAACTGCGGTGGAGTTTTTGTTTTGTTTTGTTCTGTTCTTTTGAGATGAAGTTTTGCTATGTTGCCCAGGCTGGTCTTAAACTTGTGGATTCCAATGATCCTCTCATCTCAGCTTCACAAGTGGCTGGGACTACAGGAGTGTTTCACCTCACCTGGCTCTGTGGTGGAGTTTATATGAGATAATTTTAAAATGCTTAGCATTCTATCTGGCACACAAAAAGTGGTAAAAAAAAAATATTTTAAGAGAGAGGGTTGGGGGGGCGTGTAATTTAGTAGTAGAGTATGTTCTTAGCATGTGCAAAGCCCCAGGTTCAAAATGAATCAAAAAATAAAAATAAAAAAATGAAAAAAAAAAAACAAAAACATTTTAAGGGATATACAACTAACAACATCAGATTTAGATTTACTATGATGCTCTTCAAATTTATGAATTTTAATAATAAAATCCAAATTGCAAATGATTTTGGGCTCAAGGAAGGCTAAATAAATAAAAATTCTGCATTTCATTAAAATCTAAGATGCCATTAATGCTATTATGTATCTTTAAAAAGAAACCCGATAGTCAGATATGGTGGTGCACATAGTAATTTCAATGCCTTGAGAGGCCAAGGTAGGAAGACTGCAATTCAAGACCAGCCTCAGCAACTTAGCAAGGTCCTAGGAAACATAGCCAGATCCTATCACAAAAACTGAAAAGGGTTGGGTGTGGCTCAATGGGTAAGCACTCTTGGCTTCAGTCCCAGGTACCAAAAATTTTCTTTAAACATTAAAAATAAAAAGAAAACATTAAAAATAAAATTAAACTGTGATTAAATCATCAATTATAAGATATCTCCCAATTTGATACTGAAAAGCGAGAAAAAGAAATTTTTAAATTTTAGATTAGTAAAATAGTTTAATTACATAGATGAGAAGTCATTAAATATCATTGACAATTATTTTCAAGACAAGTTTATCATACAATTAGAAAGAACTAAAATGCTTTCTTTTTAAAAAATTATTTTTAGTATTCAGAGTTTTTAGTTGTAGTTGAACACAATACCTTTATCTATCTATCTATTTATTTTTATGTGGTGCTGAGGATCAAACCCAGTGCCTCACAAGTGCTAGGTGAGCATTCTACCACTGAGCCACAATCCCAGCCCCAATGCTTTCTTTCTTAAAGAGTAATTGTCTATGTTTATCTCCGTCAATTTCATGTGGTTCCTATCTGTCATTGCCTTGGGAATATTCCTTAAACAATGAGACCAGAATGGATCTTCTGTTATGTTTCCACTGCACAAGGTATTCTCCTTTGTAGTATTCAATCCCAGTTTTCTTCAGGTAATTTCAAGTAGAATAAGCGCTATTTTATATAGTGTAGCACACCAGCCGCAAGGATTACAAATCAAAATTACATAGAAAAAATAAAAGAGTGTACTCATGTGAGAGAAACAAAATTTAAGCTGAGCATGTAGCCTGTAATCCCGGTAACTCTGAAGGCTGAGACAGGAGAATTTAAGTTCAATAACAGCCTAGACAACTTAGAGAGACCTTGCCTCAAAATGAAAAATGGAAAAAAAAAAAAAAAGAGTGGATATATAGCTCAATGGTAGAGTGCTCCAGTTCCCAATATTACCAAAAAAAAAAAAAAAAAAAGGAGGAAATTTGGCAAGTAAGGGGGTGACTGCAATACTTTTCATGTTTCATAGCAGCATTACATTTTATTGGCAGTTAATAAATAAACCTTTGGTATAGCCATTATGGAGAACAGTGGAAATTACTCAAAAAATTAAATATAATAGAACTACCATATGATCCAGCAATCTTACTACTGGGTTTGTATCCAAATGAAATAAAATCGCCATACTGAAGAGAGATTTGTACTCTCATGTTCGCTGCAGCATTATTCACAAAGGCCAAGATAAGAAATAACCTAAGTGCCCATGAAAGATCAATGAATAAAGAAAATATGTGTGTGTGTGTGTGTATGTGTAAGCAAATATTATTCAGCTTTGAAAAAGAATGAAAAGAATGAAGTCCTATCACTTGTGACAACATGGATGAACCTGGAGGACTTGTTAAGTAAAATAAGCCAGACACAGAAAGACATATACTGCATGGAATCTGAAAATGCCAAACTCATAGAAACAGAGATTAGAATGGTAGTTATCATTCTAATGGTAACTACTACTGGAATGGTTACCATTCTAATGGGATGGGAGGAGAAAGAAATGGGGAAATGTTGGTCAAAAGATTCACACTTTCAATATAAAAGTATGTTCTAGAAACAGTATGGTGAATAAAGGTAATAATGTGTTGTACACCTGAAATTTACAGAGAAGGTTTCAAATCTTCTGTCTCACACACACAAATGGGCACGCACACACACACACACACACATAACTTGTGAGGTGATGGATATGTTAATGAACTGGACTGTGGTTCACATGCATATGTATTATCAAAAATCATGTGTGCCTTAAAAATAAAATTTTTGTCAATCCCAATTCAATAAAGCTGGTGGGGGGACAAAACCATTAACATGTTTAAGTGTTATTTTCATTTCATTATGATATTATAATCTTTTTTTTAAAAAAAGGTTAAGATTTTCTTTGCTTCACAAAAGCACAAGTTACATTTCATTCACATAAATAAACATACTCATATTTTTCTTAAAACATGCAGCCTTGGGTGAATTCTTCCTATAGGCAGACTATTCCATTTTTCTTCTTTCTTTCTTTCTTTCTAAAGGGAACCACAATCCTAAAGTTGGTATGTATTTGTCTCATCTGTTTTTATAATTTTTCTGAATTTGTATATAACCACTATATACTTTTGTTTGGTTTTAAATTTATATAAATAACACATCCTTTTGCTATTTACCTGCCCTTCCAATGTTGTTTTGAAGATCTATACTAATACATCCAGATCTGTTCATTCCCTTGACTGTTACGTAATACATCAGAGTAACAATTTATATATACTATTTATTCATCCTACTGTTGGCAGGAATTTAGGCTGTTTCAAATTTCTGCTATTACATGTAATGTGTCAGTCACATGTGCAAGATATCTCTTGGTTTAAAGTAAGTTCAATTTCATTTTCACTTTGTATTTTCTTTTTTTGGGGGGCGGGGGAGGCCGTACTGGGGATTGAACTCAGGGACACTCAACCACTAAGCCACATCCCCAGCTCTATTTTGTATTTTATTTAGAGACAGGGTCTCCCTGAGTTGTTTAGCGACTTGCTTTTTGCTGAGGCTGGCTTTGAACTTGCCATCCTCCTGCCTCAGCCTCCCAAGCCTCTGGGATTACCAGCTTACTTTGTATTTTCTAGATAATGAAAACTGTTCTCCCAAGTAGTTGTACCAAATCACACTTCTACCAACAGTGTGTGAATATTCCTTTTACATTACCACCACTAACATTTGGTATTTTATAAGACTTTTTAATTTTATAAATCTGATGGGTGTGAAATGATACTTTGTTGATTTCATTTGTAATTTCCTATTTATCAATGAATTTTTTTTCTATGTGTTTATTGGCCATTTGGGTTTCCTCTTTTTTTGTTTCAAGACAGGCTCTCAATAAATTGCCCAGGCTGTCCTTGAACTTGCAATCATCCTGAGTTGCTAGAATTACAACTATGCATTACCTTGTCCAACTAGGTTTCCTCTTTTGATAACTATCCATTTTTCTATTTCATCTGTCCTTATATTTTATAAAGCTCTTAATTAAATGAGCTACAAATATTTTGGTATTTTAAAGTTGTTCATGTTATCATTTGTATTACAGAAGTTTAAATTTTGACATAGTCAAGTTTATGTTTTACACTTTGTAACTTGCTCAGTGTTAGAACTATTCTCTTATTTTTATTCCAAATAATTCCAAAGTTTTGCTTTTCATATTTAGGATCCCTAGAAATAAATTTTATATAAAGTGTGAGATAGATCCAACTATTTTTTAAAATGGTTAACAATTATATAACACAATTTAATGAATATTTTGCTCTTTCCCATTTATGTAAAACACCACTTACAAAAATTTCACACACACACACATCTGCATTGCTTCTAGGTACTTTTTTTGCTTTATTAACCTGTCTGTCTCTACACTTAAATCACTGTGACATACTGTTAGAATTTTCTAACAAGTAGGGCAATCCTTTGTTTTTCTTTAAAATAGTACTGGCTATTCTTGGTCATTTATTCTTTTAAAAAAATATTTATACTTGTTTATATATATGTGTGTGTGCGTGTGTGTGTATTTATTTATTTATTTAATTTATTTATTTTTATTTTTAGTTGTTGATAGGACTTTATTTTTATTTATTTGTATATGTTGCTGAGAATTGAACCCAGTGCCTCACAATGCTAGGCAAGTGCTCTACCACTGAGCTATAATCCCAGCCCCAAATTACTCAAACCTCATATCCTATTGGGATTTTAATTAAAATTGCATTTAATTTTGGGAGAACTAACATTTTAGGATTTCTCAAAAGGCTCAATCGATTTCATTTATTTAGATTTTTCTCTTGTCTTTTAACATTTATTCCTGGACATCTGCTTTTCATTCCAAATTCTTGATCTCATAACACTGTTAAATCTCAGCTAAGACATCACTTACTTCTACAAATACTTCTGACTTTTCAGACTCATTGGAATGCTCCTCCTTCATGCTCATGGATTTATTTATTCTTTTTTTTTCTGAATGTGACCAAGAGTTACACTAGGCATGGAAGGTACACTGGGGAATAAGATGGACAGTGCCTAGTTAAAGGGGCTCTCATTCTAACTGGAGACACAGAAAAATAAACACTTTCAATTCAGGGTGACACATGTCAGTACAGGGGAAGTATACTGTGCTATGGGAATACATAAGAGAAATACCTAACTCAGACTTGGGGGATGGCTGGATGGGGGAGAAGGGTGTCTGTCAAACAACGCTTCTCAAGGAAGTAACATGTAGATTGAAACCTGTAAGAAGAACAGAAATTAGAAAACATGACAGTAACTAAATCATAGTAATGATATCCTTGTCTTGCTCTTGACTTTACTGAAAAAGCTCTCATTGTTTAACTTTAAATCATCTATTTTTGAACATATTCTATTTCTTGGCTTCTTAGTACTATTTTTGGCTCTCATACACTCTGTAATAATCATTACTTGTTTAGTGGTTCTAATTCACTCCTTAAATATTGCTATCCCCCATGGTCTCACCCTTCTCTTTCCTGTTTAGATTTAATCAAATCACTATCCCTAGAGACTTTTCCCACTTCTGTTTTAAATATAAATTTAGATTCAGAGGACTCAAGATATTTTCTTAATTTTAGCTCCTACCACTACAGATTTTCTGACCTAAATTTATAACTACATACTACATGTCTCTATCCATATGTTCCATAGAATTATTATGCTATGAACATGTTAACATGCAATCTATCTACATATGGTGTATACTGCCAACTAACCAGCACCAGCAGATCTACCTCCCATATTCAGTGGACAGCACTGGCATTCATGCCTTCAGAGTCATTAATCTGAATGTGTGTTAGAGGGTATCCCCTTCTTGGAAATCAGTTTATGATAGAGCACAGTCACTGCATTCAAAGGTTGTTTCAAGGATTAAATAATCACAGAAATTTTTAGGCCAAGTATTGTTGCTTTTTTTTTTAATGTGTCACATTTGGCTAGGCTACTATTTGCCATTTATTCAATAAAATACTAATGTGTTGTATGAAGCCTACTTTGTAGATGTAATTAAAGTCCATCATCAATTGACTTAAGTAAGGGAGATTATTCTGGATAATGTGGATGGGCCTGATTCAATTAGTTGAAATGAATTAAAAGCAGGGTTGGGGCTTCCCCAAAACAGAGAACAAAAATCACCTATAGAAAATAGCTTCAGACTGTGTCCAAGATTTCTAGCCTGTCTTTCCTGACAGCCTGCCCTAAGACTTCAGACTGGTTTTACTGGCCCCTACAACTACAGAAACCAAATCTCTACAAATCTACTACTGGTTCTGCTTCTCCAGTCGAATCTTGATTAGTATACCAAGTTTGTAGTCTACTTGCAAAGGGAATTCCTTCAAAAACCTAGTAAAATTTCTAATCCTTGTTTCTCATTATTTCCATGTACCAGTAATTATACCCAAAGATTTTTTTCTGGACATGGTTCTTAAATCTATTTTTTGTTTTGCTTTTAGCTTAATCCTTGGAATTTTCTCCTTCCTCTCCATCCCACATCAGACCATCACCATCTCTTACCTGAACTAGTGATTGAAAAGCCTCCTAACTGGCTTCTCAGATTAGTTTTTTTCTCCTCTATCTATTCTCCACACTGCTGCCAGAGGTCTCTTTCTGGAAAACAAATATGATCATGTCACTATCCTTCTTAAGAATCTTTGAAGTCTCCCTACTTAAAGGAAATAAGTTTTACCCCCCTCATTGGTTTCTATTTTTAGCTTTTATTTTCTTCTATTCTCTTTGAATTTAATTTTCTGTTATTTTTCTAACTGTTGAGATGAATACTCAGGTCACTGATGCTTTTCTTTTTTTGTAATAGGCATTTAAAGTTCTAAATTCTCTCTAAGCATTGTTTTAGTCAATTATGCCAGTTCTGATGTGTACTGTTAATCACTCAATTTGAAATTCAAATTTCTTTTGTGATTTCTTTGATAGATTATTTAGAAATTATTCTTAAAAATTTCCAAAGCTAGACTTCATGTTCCAGTAGGAACATAATAGCAATTTCCAAATTTCCCCATCTTTCTCCTAGGACCTGTGTAGAGCAACAAAGAGAAAGTTAAGAAAAAGAACAAAACAAAACAAACCCATATATCTTCAGTAAAACTAGAAGATAATAAAAAGCAGAAAATACCAAATCATAAGTAAACATGGCCCAAAGTACCCGGGACTACTAGAACCTATGCAAGAAGCCACATCTGAGCATGGGAGAATGACAAAAAGTATAAAATAGTGGGGGAATAGCAAATTTTCACTCCCCCCAAAAAAGGTTCCTCTCTTAAGTCAGAATTGCAACATTTATAATTGAGACTGGATCAGGGAAATCTCAGAAGCAACTAGAGAAGGAGATATAGAAAGTGTCATGAGAGTAAGTGGAGGGAAAAGTTTCAGTCTCAGAAAAAACTACTCTTCTAAAAGTGAGGCATGCATTTTTCTTTCAAACTTACAGGAAAGTTGTATAAAAACTTGTATATAATTTCCCAAATTCTCGAATTGTTAACATACAAAGCAAGAAATTTAGAAGGCAGAAGTCATATCTTTTGGTAGTAGAAGCTATAAGAACCTGTGGGAACTCAAGGCTGATAGTTCACACTACTTAAATCACTTAAGTTAGAGAGGCCCAGAAGATGTGGCTATACTTTGAAGAATGAATCCACTGGCACAAAAGAGGACAGAAGTTTTGAGCAGAGAAACCAGGAAAACTATCTTGCACCTAAGATGCAACTAATGTTCTTGGCATACCTGTAATTTCCCTCTTAATAGGTAGTTTGAAAGAATGCATCTTGATCAAATATGAACAACAAAAACCCAGTATGTATCTACACAAAGATACCAGGTAAAAATTGTGTGTGGGGGGGAAAGGGCAGTGTAACATCTTTAACAACAACAACAAAAAATCAACAGACAATATCACAAAATAGATGAAAATACAACCCTACTTTTTAACATGTGTTCAAAAATGCATAATGCAGTTAAAATGCACAGCAAAACTCAGCAAAGAAATGGAAGAAAAACATTTTTTTAATTCAAAAATAAAAATTAAACTGCCACAAACACTTGGTAAAGTATACACATTGGATGGAAATTTTTAAAGTGAAAATAAGCTGATATTTATTTTTTTAAAAAAGATATGACTTGTACCTACCTATATTTTCAAAGGGAATCTCATATTCTAAATAAAATTGACTCCACATGGCCAACTAAGTAAAAAATATCTAATAAAAGAGTCGGAAAAAATACTTTTAGCAACCAGACAAAAAACAAATCCCTAAAGTCAAGCTCTGCAGCATGTGCCTGAAATCCACTCTTTAGGAGACTAAGGCAGGAAGATCATGAGTTCAAGACCATCCCTGGGTGCAACTCAGCAAGACACTGTCTTAAAAAGGGAAAATAAAACAAAACAAAACAAACAAACAGATCCCTTTTCTTTGGTACTAGGAACTGAACACAGGGGAGCTTAACCACTGGGTTATATCCCTAGCCCTTTTTATTTTTTATTTTGAGACAGGGTCTCATGAAATTGCTTAGGGCCTTGCAAAGTTGCCGAGACTGGCTTTGAACTTGAGATCCTCCTGCCTCAGCCTCCTGAGTTACTGGGATTACTTAAAGCTGAACTCTTCTAAGAAAAAAAAAGTACACCAGCATCATTCTTCTCTAACTGGGCATTCAATGTCAGAAGACAGTGGATAATTTTCCAAAAGACACTCAAGGAAAGAAAGTGTGAGTCAGTAATTTTGTAGTTAGCCAAACAGTCTTTCATAAATAAGGCTACTGACCCTGCAAAATCTCAGCATTTATCCATATGAAACCTTCTTAAAGAAACAACTTGAGGACAAACTGAAACCACTGAACAACAGGAAAAATTTCAGCAAAAGGACTGATAGTGAGCACCAATACATTAATTGTAGATTTAAGATGAAAACAAATATATGTACTGATGACAGAATGGAATGCAACTGTTATGTACTCTAAGAATGAGATAATATATACAAAATAAATGACTGATAGAAGTAGAAAATAAAGTAGAATAAATTCAACAACTGTACCTTATGTGTAACAGGATTCAAAGTTGAAAACCAAATACTATAAATTTAAGCAAAATTAAAGAGTTAAATCCCAAGGGGTAAATAAACAAGCTAATAACTAGCCTAAAACTAGTTAATAAAGAGAAATAATGTTATTCGTTAAGGGAAACAAAAGACTATTTTAAAAAAAGAAAAGAAGGTAAGTATCCCATAAGGGCACAAAGGTAACCGTAAGGTGGGGGGAAACTTCTAGTATTAGAACTATCATCTAAAAAGCACAGAAAATATACCATATAGAGATTAAAAAACATATACAATTAGAAAAAAATGACATAAAACAATTTGACAAAATCAAGACCTTTTTATTTATCTGGCTTCCTTTGTCCATTAAATAGAAAAAAAAAAAAAAAGAAGCAGCAGCTTTAAAGCTTTAAGATACCATAAACCAAAACTATTCTGTTGTCATCAATATAAATCTATGGATTGGGACACAGCTTAGTGGTAGAGCATTTGCCCAGCCACTGCTGGTTTTGATTCCCACCACTGCAAAGTAAGGTTAAAAAATACACACACACACACACACACACACACAACTGCCTAAAAAGATATGTCTTGCTTAAATTCCTCAATATAATCTGATAAGAAAAATATCAGAGGTATAAATTCCTGAAAGAAGAGATAAACCTATCACTAGTTGCAGATAATAACTATAATCTAGAAATTCAAAGAAAATCACTTGGAAAAAAATACTATATAATGGAATTCAATAAGATGAAGATTAAAAAGTACACAGAAATTAATAAGACTTCATGTATATAAATCATAAGTTACAATCTATAAACCTATTTAATAGCAATAAAGACAAAAAATATCGAGAGATAATAAGAAATGTACAAAATTTAACTGAGGAAATCTTTAAAACTCTCCTGAAGGAAATAGAAAGATATATGTTCTTGAACACAAGGACTCAACATCTTAAAGATGCCAATTTAGACTAACTTAATTAATAAAATAATGAAATCTCAATAAAAATAACAACTGTGCTTTCCTCATCTATACAAGGCATTGATTGATTGATTGATTGGTACTGGGGATTAAACTCAGGGGGCACTCAACCACTGAGCCACATCCCCAGCCCTATTTTTGTATTTTATTTGGTCTCACTGAGTTGCTTAGCGCCTTGCCATTGCTGAGGCTCACTTTGAACTCACAATTCTCTTGTCTCAGCCTCCCAAGCCACTTGGATTACAGGAATGCACCACTGTGCCCAGCTTATACAACATATTTAAAAGGCTGTGTGGTAAAATAGGTAAAAATGGTCTTGAAAACCCTGAAAAGAGAAAATGAGACCGGCTCTATCAGATATTCAAAGTCATAAAAATGGACTATGGATATAGCTCAATGGTAGAGTACTAGCCCAGCATGTTTGAGGCCGTGAATTCACTCTCCAGGACTAGGGGAAGAACTATTTTAAGAGACATGATTGATCAGTAAGTATTGGTGTGCACATGTGTACCAAAAGGGAAAAAACAACAACAAAAAACTCCACCATGGGGCTGGGGTTGTGGCTCAGCGGTAGAGCACTCACCTCTCACATGTGAGACCCTGGGTTCGATCCTCAGCACCACATAAAAATAAATAAACAAAAAGTAAAGATATTGTGCCCATGTATAACTAAAATAATAAAAAAAAAACCCTACCACCACACCAAAGACAAGCTAGCTACAATATATGCAACTTGTATTACAAAGAGTTAATCTGCTTGATTTATAAAGCACTCTCAGTAAATGAGAAGAAAAAGTCCAACAGAAAAGAAGGGTAAAAGACCAATAATCAGTTCATTAAAAAAGAAATATAAGGGCTGGGGCTGTGGCTCAGTGGTAGAGCGCTAGCCTAGCACATGAGAGACCCTGGGTTTGATCCTCAGCACCACATAAAACTAGATAAATAAAAAGAAACATAAGATCAGTGTTACAGCATTTACCTAGCATGAACAAAGCCCTGGGTTCAATTACCAGCACTAAAAAAAAAAAAAGCGAAGAAAAGAAACACAAGTGGCCTTATATAAGTGAAAAGGTGATCAAATACAAATGAAAAGTACAGAAGGAAATTATTTCTTACAAATTTGACAAAATTTATCTAGTGGCAAAGTATAAGAAAGCAGGTACTCTCACTCACTGATGCAAAATATTTACAACCTCTGGAGGGCAATCTGGCAATAACGATTGAAATTACAAATACATTTACCCTTGACCCTTCAATCTTACCACTAGAAATTTATCTTAAGATACATCTAAATATATATGAAAAGATGTTCTGAAATGGCAAATGATTAAAAACAGTCCTATTATACATCTAAAGGAGACTGGTTAAACATTTCCTTTCTCATTATTTTTATAATGGCAGACAATACTGAAATAAATTAGGAAACTCTACCCATCTGGAAAGATCAAGAATCCTTGGAGGAATGGCTAAGTCCAGGGACTGGGCAGGAAACACAAGATGAGCCTGGAAGATTCTGCTGTGCCACAAAGCTAATAAACACAAATCAATTATCAATAGGACACCATACTTTTCCACATAAGAATAACAAAATTAGAAAAATTAACAGTTAATAATATCTAGTGAAATAAATGATTTGGGGAACTACCATCAATGAATAAAAAGTAACTGAAAGGCTCTTTGGGAAATTTACAGTGGCTAGATCTCTGAACCTACTGATTAATGTGATTAATCTTAGCATCACTAAATTAGGATCACTAGTACTGTAGGTCTTCAAGCATGACATATTATGAAGCATTTTTGAAATATTATGAACCAAAATTGAATTAAACTTTCATGTCTTTTATTTTCAGGAAATATGGGGGATAGAGGAACAAGGTAATTAATTACTCAAGAAAACAAAAAGACAAACTCAGATTTGGGGATAGTCTACAGGACAAGTGATCAAGTTTCTGCAACAAGTCCATGACATTAAAAAAGAAAAAGAAAAAGACCCAAACACAAAAGAGAAGGAAATGGGACTATAAAAAATGCATAATAAGCAAAAGTGATGTGTGGATCTTGTTTGAATTCTGATTAGAATCAACTAACTAAGCCGGGCACCATGCCACACACCTGTAATCGCAGCAGCTTGGGAGGATGAGGCAGGAGGATTGAAAGTTCAAAGCCAGTCTCAGCAACTTAGCAAGGCCCTGTCTATAAATAAATTATAAAAAGGGCTGGAGATGTGGCTCAGTGGTTAAATGATGCTGGGTTCAATCCCCAGTATCAAATTAGAAAAAGAAAAAGAAAAAAGATCGACTAACTAGAAAAAGATGTATTTGAGACAATTAGGGAAATTTGATCTAAGACATGATATTAGAGAGTACAAAACAATGATTATTTTTCATATATGAAAATAACATTTTTTGCTATATAATATTCAAATTTGCAGAGGTATTTAGTGTAGGCAAAATAATATGCTGTTCAGAATATGATTTAAAACTTCACAGTATAGGAAGAAATGGAGATAGATTAAGCAAAAATAGAAAAATCCTGACAATCTGAATAATAGTTACATATATATAGCAGTTTATCATGATGTTCACTTGACTTTTATATAAACTTGAAAATGTTTCTAAGAGTTGGGCATAGAAGTACACATCTGTAATCCCAGTAAACTCAGGAGGATGAGTTCAAGGCCAGCCTGGGCAACTTAGTAAGATCCTATCTCAAAATAAAAAGTTAAAAAAGGACTGGGGATGTAGATCAGTGGAACACTGTCTGTGGGTTCTATCCCCAGTACCCCCTCAAATGAAAAGAAAAGATTTGTAAGAGAACACCTTAAAAATGAGAATGCAATTAGAAACACATTATGTACCACACCTAGGGTCACCAAAACCAACAGATTTTCTTTAATATATGTATTTTATAATAAAATGTTATCAAAGAGTTAAGAGGACAAAGGTGAATTAGTTGTAAGAGAAGACTTGTCAGATGATCGTATCAGGGCTTTTATGCTTGTTTTCATGCATTTGCTTAATGTTAAGTAGCATTCCAGGTCAAGTTCTGCATAAAAACATTTGAAATAAAATGCAACAAAATAAAAAGTTTTCCCAGTTTGTCATAATACATGCCTGAATATTACTTCAAGACACCAGTACATGTAATTATATACATAAAATTTATACACACATGCCATATAGAAATCAACTATCCAATTCAGAATATGGTTTTAGTTCCCTTACCATCGATATTAAGCATCATTTTCCACATGGCAGGTCGAACAGATTGATGGAATCCAAACCATACTTCCCTGCCCCCTCCCAGAGGGTGGTCATATCCTTCTGGAGCTGAGAAAAAGGAACGCCCCACAGGCGTATATCTAAAAAATTAAAATGGTGTGTTCAATACTTTCCTTTCCATGCAAGTATTTAAATCTGCAGAACAGGGGAAACTAAAGCACACACAATTAATTTACCATAATGATGCTTAAAATTATGACTATATTAAACTAAACATTTTTCAAGTTTATGAAAGCAAACGTTTTCCAAGTTTGTGAAAACAAACATTTTGCAAGTTTGTGAAAGCAAAAAGTAGCCAAATCCATCTGCATCCTTCACTGAAATTCTCCATTCTCATAATCACTAGTTTATGTAACACATTTTATTTAAAATACTTTCTTAAAAACAGGTTAAAAAAGTAAACAGTTCCACTGAGGCAGGAGGATGTCGAGTTCAAAGCCAGCCTCAGCAAATGTGAAGCACTAAGCAACTCAGTGAGACCCTGTCTCTAAATAAAATACAAAATAGGGCTGGGGATGTGGCTCAGTGGTTGAGTGCCCTGGAGTTCAATCCCTAGGACCCCCTTTTCCCCCACAGAAAAAGAAAAAAAAAAAAAACTCAACAGTTCCAAACTTAAAATGTAGAGTAAAAATAATAATTGATCAAAAAGCTATGCCTATGTGTTTCAAGACACACTATTTCTATAAAAAGACATATATGACCAATACATGC